CATGCAACCCACCAGTTCTTCATCCCTCCCCTAGGTTTTGGATCCAAGGCCAGTATTCACCTTAAGTAAAGAACCAAGACTTCATAGCCAAAGGCCTGGAAACTCAGAAATGTGTCCATGTAGAACTACAACATAACCCAGCAATCCCACTACTGGACATATATGCAAAGAACATAAAATCAGTATGTCAAAGGAATACACACACTCCAGTGTGTATTCCAGCACTATTTGCAATAGCCAGGTTATGAGGTCAACCTAATGTCCATTAATAGATGAATGAATAAATAAAACATGCAACATATATACAGTAGAGTACTATTCAACCTTAAGGGAAATAAGCCCTATTATTTGAACAGCACAAATGAACCTAAAGGACATTGTGTCAAATGAAATCAGCCAGAGCCAGAAAGACATAGATATAAATACCACATAAATTTATTTACATTTGGAATTTTTAAAAGTTGAACTCATAGAAGTAGAGAGCTGAATAGTGGATGCCAGGGATCAGGAGAAAGAGAGTTTTGGGTTGGAGAGATATTGGTTGAATGATATAAAATTCATGTTAGATTGAGCCTGTACCTTAGCTATTATGAGTAGCACTTCAATAAACAGCTAAGTACAAATATTTATCTCCCTTTTAGATACATACTCAATAGTAGTTGCCAACATATGATAGCCCTATTTCTGGTTGTTTAGAGAACCTCCATACTGTTTTCCATTGCTAATTTCCAGTCCCACCAACACGCAGAACAGTTTTCTCCGCAGCCTCACCAAAATTTATTGCTTTTTGACTCTTTGTTAATAATTTTCTAATTAAGGGTGAAATATTAGCTCATTGGGGTTTTGATTTGCGTTTTCCTGACAATTACTAATGCTGAGCATTTCTTCTAAGCAACTGCTGTTCATTTGTGTATCTTCTTTTGAGAATCCTCTATTCAAGTCATTTGCCTGCTTATTAATTCAATTATTTGTTGCAGATGGTGGTGATTCTTTGCTTGCTTCCTCTTGCACTGAGTTCCTTATATATTCTTGAAATTAATCCCTGGTTGAGTGAATCATTTACATATATTTTCTCCAATTCCGTAGGTTGTCTTTCCATTGTATTACTTCCTTTGCAGTACAGAAGCTTTTTAGTTTTACTGCCTTGTTGAAAATCAGTTAGCTACAAACATGGAGATATATTTCTGGGCTCTCTGTCCTGTTCATGTTGTCCATGTATTGGTTTTTTATGTCAGAACTATGCTGTTTCAAGGACTATGGCTTTATAATATGTTTTGAATTCAGATATAATCTCTGATCTTGTTCTTTTCACCTAGGATTGCTTTGGCTATTCAGGGTTTTTATGGTTTATGTATTATGTTCTTGAAAATTGATAGAATGGATTTTAAAAGTTCTCACTTGAGAGAAATGTCAGATTTGTAACAAAATGCATGTATGTTCATTAGCCCAATTTAACCAGTTCAATAGATAGATATTTCAAAAATATATTACACATATACAACAAGTATATTTAATTTTTGCCTTTTTCTTTCCTTTTTTTTTTTAAGTACTGGGGGATTGAACACAGGACCTTCACACCGAGCTACATCTCCAGGCCTTTTTTTATGTTTTATTTTGAGGCAAGGAGTTACTAAGCCACTAAGTTGCCCAGATTGGCCTCAAACCTATGATCCTCTTGCCTCAGCCTCCCAGAGTGCTAGGATTATAGGCATGTGCCTCCATGCCTGGCTAAACATTTTTAATTAAAATGAAAGTAAGGTGTTCAAATCTCTGAGCAAGACTCTAGGCCCGAGCATGACTGCACATCCTTTCATATTCGGTGTTTCAGTTTTCGAATCTCAATAGACTATAAGACGAGGTGTAAATTCCATTCCTGTTTTGCCTTTCTTGGCTCACACAAGACCCAGTCCCTGGAGAACTTCACAAAGTAGAGACTGCAATGAATTCTGCCCATTATCTGTGTCACCCGAGCATTGTGTTGCAATTGTGTGGCATATGGTGAGTGCCCAGCAAATCTCTTAAATGGATGGTGAAGTTTGCCCCAGGGAAGTTGGTTCTGCTACACAGAATATCTATTAGGCACCACTGTTGCTTCTGTAACAAAAGTCTGAACATGTCTCATACTGCCAACCTTACTGAGAACAGCTGTCATTTCCATGCCAGAACCAGGTCTACCAAATGCTGCTGCATCCTAGTCTAGCGTGAGGTCCCCAGCTGAGTTCTGCTTCTCTTGTTTTAACCCGTTTTCTGTTATTCTCTAGCAAAGAGTTATAAGAACCACATTGATTGTGCAACATTACCTTACAGAGCGGTGATGAAATCTACCAGCTTTAACTTCCAGTTCACCTGCTTGTTGTAAGACTCAGGAGCAGACCACAAGCAGGCTGGGGAAAGGGATGCCGTGTGGAACTGAGGATCCTGCCTACACTCTGCGGCTTAGGGTTGTGCTAGCCTTGCCTTCCCAGTGGAGTGAGTTCTCTGCTAGGACGTCCTTTATGTAGTTAAAGACACTGGATACCCCTTTCTCTTCCCCTAGCATCCCAGTTTAGTAACCTTCTCTAGACTTTTCTGAAGCCCAGGAGTAGACACAGATTAGATTCCAAGTGGGACATCCAGCTATCTTTACTGCTGAGTTTAAGACTATACTTTAGCCTGTCTTTGTGGTAAATCACAGTCAACATGGACAGAGCAGTTTTTGGTAAGTGGGCAACTGAATGGGATAAGCATTGTTTAGAGGACTGTTATTTCCAATTGTATGCCAAGTGAACAGAGAGCTAAGGGTAAAAACCATAACCACGATTCTACTCTTATTCCCTTTCCTCATCCAAATCTACCAGTAAACATTTTTCTCAGTCTAACACAGTCTAAAAGGGGTAGACGAAGGAGAGGATAAAGGAGGCAGCAGACACTTGGTATAGGGAGAATGACAAGGGCCAGCGCACGTGTGTGGGGACGTCTCATCAAGAGCAGGTCAGCGATAGGTGTTTTGTCCTCACCTAGATCTCATCCTTTCTGTCCCACAGGCTCACCATGGCACAGGCTGAGGAGTCTGTTGCACAGTCTAGCTACACAATAGAAAGCTACCAGAGGACATCTCCAAGCCAAGAATGTGTCCCTGGGTTCTCTTTCCCTTCACAGAGGATGTTGTGGGTGGCATTTGGTCCTCAAAAAGAAATGTCCAGTTCCTGAGTACCTCTAAGGCAACCTTATTAGAAAAAGGACCTTTTCAGATATAATTAAAGTTCATTCTTTAGATGGAATCATTCTGACTAACTAGGTTAACCCTAAATCCAGTAACAAGTGTCCTTGTAAGAGACAAAGAGAAAAGCGAGGCACCATGAAGAGGTTGGGAGGGATTCCCTCCAGGATCCTCAGAACTGCATGTTTTCCTAGCAACAGGACACCTCCATGTCAGGCTGCTGCTCCCCAGATCTGAGGTAGTGCATTTCCACTATTTCCAGTCACCAGGTTTGTGCTCATTTGTTACAGCTGCCCTAGGAAATTAATACAGAGGGTTCCGATGTGTAGAACCAACCTTGACTTTGATTCTTTAGCAACACTAAAGAAATTATATGAGACAAAGAATAGAAAGGCCTTTAATGCAGGCACAGGGGGGCTGCAGAAGAGACGCAGGCACTCTCAGTGAGAACAAAGAAATAGAACTACTTTTATCAGGTCTGGCTGGGGGAGGAGTTTGGAAGGTGGATAAAATGACATATTACCATCTGTCTATGCAAAACAGGACACAGAAAGGTTTACTGGGGGCTGGGAGTAAAGCACTTGGTTGGTTGTGGAGTCTTGGGATTGGAAAGCACTTGGCATGTGCACAAAAAGGGAGCAGGAGGTTTATCTCTGGACCTAGAAGGAGACCGTAGAAGTTACTCTTAGATAAGTTGCTTCTCTGGGCCTGGGACCAAAATGGGCAGATGTCATGTTACAGATAGCTAAGCCCCAGGCTAGCAGAACCTATCAGTGACTTTGCTACTCTTAAATGTCTAAGAGTAAGGAGGTGAAACTTCCGCTTACTGAGTGACTGCAGTGTATCAGGCCCTGTGCGAGGCACTGTCCATAGTGCAGTTCACTCCATGCTTGTAACAACCTTGGAGAGGGGATGTCACCAGTCCCATCTTATGATTAAAACTCAGAGGCTTTGCCCAAGACCAGGCAGCAAGTACACGTTGGAGTTAGGATCCTACTTGAGATTCTGAGATCAGTGTTTTTCCTCCTATACCACAAGTATACATTGACTAAGATTGGAAATCTTTTTATCTCTTAAAAGGCTTTTTTTTTTAAAGCTATTTTTCTATGACTCCATTTCCGCAAGAAACTAGATTCTGTTCCGGGCAGGATAACCAATTCTGGCAAAGGCAGAAATATTCACGACTTGTCATAGAAAATGGGGAGGAAATGTATGAAGCGCCTAAGAATCTGTGCCTGACAGCCTTCCCTGGGCCCCTAGAGGTCAACTAGATCAAAATCTCCCTCATCTACTCATTTCCCCTAAAGCACAAGCATGAACCAGGGCCTGCCTGTTTTGTTTAAACAGGTTGCTCTCAAATGGAGCCAATATGGGCCCCAGTTCTTCCCGGGAAGCCACACAAAATAAATGCAAACCTCCTCCCTCCAACAGCCTTTCAGGAACTGAAGATGATAAACAGGACACAAAGTAGAAATTTCCCTTCCACCAGTCTTTGGTTTCCTTGAATGACCTGATGTCCAATCCCCTCTTCACGCTGGTTCATCTTCCAGACTAACACCAAGCCCACTTCGTTTCTCTTTCAAGTGGACGCCCATGCCTCGTGTCACAGCTTCAGCCATGTGGCTGAGGACAAAGTCACTCTCTCCCTTTAGCATCACCCCACCCCTCTCTCTGCTTCTCAGTTCTCACCTCTCACACTTGAGCTGCTCCAAAATGTCATCCCTCTTCCCAAGGGCAGCTCTGCTGAGAACTCCACAAATGCATTAACTCTCCAGAGTGCTTCAGCAGCCCACTCACCCACCTGCTCTGAAGGCGCCCGTTCCCAAGCGGCACTGTGATCCATCAAGTCGGTTTCCTGTTCCACAGCCCACACAGCACAGCGGAAAATTAATGACACTGACTGTTCCCGCTACAGAAGCAACTCAACTAGACAGCAGCCTTCTCCGCCACGGGGAGGGAGCCCCTCAGTTGAGTCATCTGCAAGAAAAAGGAGGGAGAAACACTTAAGTCTAGGAAAACTATTTGCCTAAGGGCCATAGCAGGGCCTTGGTCCTGCCGACCTAAGTAAAAACTAGGATTCTGCTCATCATTCCATGCTTAATAAGCACTTCACAGCCATGAAGACAGTGATGAAAGGAAGACTTGATTTAAAATCTCAGCCCAGCCCCTGTGGTTAGCAGATGGAGACTCCCAAAACCAATCCCGTGTGATAGGACACAGAGAAAGGACAAAGGACAGGAGGGTCCCTGGGGCATCCTTCACCACTGCTTCGGTCCTGCCCACCTCGCCCAGGTAGGGAAGACTGGCGCCCCCGCCCTCTTCCTCTCCTCTCTCTGTCTTTCCCACTGTGCCCACCCCTCATTTCTGTTCCATGACAGATTCACCACCAGCCCAAAAAGGCTTAGCAGTTACTGACAGGTCTTTGCTGCTCCACACATAGCCACCGGATCCCACCTGTGTCCCGTGTCATCCTCACAAGGAAGCTGCCTCTCTCCACTCCTCTTCTCTCTTCTACTACACAAGGTTACTTAAACAGCTCCTTCCTAAACCAGATTTCCCACCCCAGCACTGTGTACACAGGAGTTCTCGGGACTGACATAATTCGGACCTCGGGGAACCTACTTTAGAGCACTGGTTTTCTATATGTGTCTTAGGGAGACCAAAGTTGTTCTGGGTCACCTCAGGGGCAAAGGGAAGACCCTCAGGACAGCCTTCAGAACCTCTGCAGATTTCTTTCCCATATAAGAGCTCTATGCAAGGTTTAAAAAAATAATACTCTGTCTCCAAAATAAAAGCAATGTCACCACAAGAAATGCAGAATCCAGCAAAACCTTCTCCTCACTTGCCTTATGACCAGGAGACATGAACACAGCCTTGGCATGAAAGAGAAACAGCTAACAAAAGCCTTTGCTGGGGGCAAAAAAAGCCATAAATGGGCAGAATGCTTCCGGTTTCACCTGTTCTTGGAGTGACTCGGGATAATGAGGCCCAGCCCTTCATCATTCAGATGTGAAGATGTAGCCTCTGAGGTCAACAGCTCACCAACCAATCAAGTTTCTCATATATACTTGCGTTGAGAGACTTAAAGGTTCATGCAAGTAATTCCTTAACCTGTATCCAGTTCATTCCATTCAGGTGGCTTTCTAAAAGACATACAATAAAAAATGATGCTGAATGATAGTAAAAAAGAAAGAAATGGATGTGATTAGAGTTTTCTTTGTCTTAAACTCAAGCTCTGTAAATTTGCTCCATGCTGCCTCAAGACTCAGAAAATTATATTCGCTGCATTTTTCAAGGCTGTTCTAAATTTTGAGTGATGAACAATTTCCTAGTTAGAACTTCAAGTAACTCGTGAGATGCCAGTAAGGACTTGCAAGCAAAGAGGCCTCTTTGTGGATGACAGTTCTTATTTGGGCAGATCCTGCCTTGATTTCATTAACATCTGTTTGCTCCCTAACACTGAAGCCTTTCTGCTTATATTGACTGTAAGAAAACAGAATCAGATTAGAACTCAGAGCTGGCCCAACAGAGGCTCCACTGGGTCACAGGGGTGGCCAGGTTTGGGGATTGGTTTGATCACCATATAGAAATATCTCTTTGTCCATGAGCACCTGCAAAGGCATTGTGGGGCGCTCATTAGAAATGCAGACTCCTAGGCACCAGCCCAGACCCACTGAATCAGAGCCTGCATCTTAACAAGATCCCCAGTTAATTTGAATGCACATTGAAGTTTGAGAAGCAGTTCCCAATGGCACCCCGAACTCCTAGATACAGATTTCTCAAACATAGACAAAGACACAGAAAAACTAACCACCACCCTCCACCACAATTCTCATCACCCAGAGAGGCTCTGGTGGCGGGGAGTGGGGTTTGGAGCTCGGCTTTTGTTTATTTCTAGAAGCTTTTGTTGCTGTCCTCATTGATCTTCCGTGAAAATATCAAATGAGAGTTAACTGGGGAAAAGGTGCTTTTGGAGCCAATGTGTTTAGTCATACTTTGGCACACACTGACAAAGATATTCACCCCCAGGGGGCATAATTGTTCTTGAGAAGTGACTTTGTTGTACAGAAAACTTTTTGTTTCCAGAGGCACAGCCTAGGCGACACAGAACAGAATAGAAATGTGGCGATTATCCAGTTCATTTACTTGCTGTACACAGCCGGACAAACCAATCCAGGTAGCGCAGGCCGGAAAAATAAGATTCCAAGGTGCCTGGCTTCTCCAGGTTCACTGCGAACACTGCCCAAATGAACTGGACCACAGCCAACCCTGCACTTCATTATGTGCTTGAATCACAGTGCAAGGGGACCCAGCACCAGCAGATGCGTGGCGGGGATGGGCACATGTGGGTGACCCCTGGACCCAGACGACATCTGACAAGGGATGACATTAGGCTTTGGCAGAGCTCGGCTGCAAAGTGGTTATCACACAGAAGGCAGGTGGGCAGCCTGCCAAAATACAGACACGGGGACCAACCAAAGGATAATTGCTCTAAGTTCCATACAGGGAGCCAAGACAGAGATGTCAGCGGAACATCGCCTGGCTCAGTTGCAGCTCACACAGGACTACAGGGAAGAGTCCGACAAGAAAGGGAAGATTTTTTTGAAAAGGCCAAATTTGTTCAAACAAGGTATGGCAGGCCAGCTGGAAGACATGTCAGTCAAGTACGAGGCTCTCTGCTCAGAGGTATTTCTGTCACTTGGACATGACAGCTTCTTAAAACTAAATATAAGGGGAAATTATAGCTAGATTTCCTCCAGGCATGGGATATGTCCTGATTGCAATTTAGGAAACTGGTAGATTAAATCATTTTCTGCAACCCTTCCTAAGTGGTAGGTCTGTGCCTTACTGCTTTGCAGTAAGATCAGGGATGGGGGGGCCAACCAGCCAGCACCCTTTTGGACTATAGAATTCCCAGAAGCTCCTGAAATTATATACCAATGTTTGCATGTGTTTAAATATTTTTTCTAGGAAAATAAACAGTAGCTTTTATCAGATTCCACAAACTGATCCAAGATCCTCCGAAGTTGACACTTGCAGTTAGCTGAAAGAGATATGAAGGATAAAGGAACAAGTATCTCTCAAACACCCTCGGCCAGATTTTGTATGTTGTGAGAACATCTTAATTGTTCTAAAAACCCTAGTGGCATCATTCCCACTTTACAGTTAAGAAAAAGCACAGCTAAAATTGAACAAGTCATCCTACCAGGTAAACACAAATGATATTGTGAAGAATGGGTTGAATCTGAGCAGCTAGTTACAAAAGAAAGGGCATTCTAGGAGGAAGGACCGAGGCGAGAAGAGGCGAGCGATGATAAAGGATGAAATGCTAGCAGAGAACATTGCCCTCCTCTTATTGACTGAGAAGCTTCTTAAAGACTGGAGAGCCAAGTAACAGCCACAAGATAAGAGCATCCCAGGATTCAGCTTCCAGGCCATTTAGTCTTAAATTTCCTGTCACCCAACCCCAGTGCAGCCAGAGGATAACCTCTCCAGAAGAGACCCCGACATAAAGCCCAAGAGCCACTTAATGCCCAATATTGATTCAAACAAGTGCATTTTATGTATTTCTAATTCATCTCAAGTGGAGAGAGCTGGGCGGGAGGAAGCCAAGAGCTTACCCAGGGCTCAGGAGCCCAGACAGTCACACACAGCCTCCCCGGAAGGCAAAGATCATCCATTCAGTGTGCGGGGCTTAATGAGTCTCCAGTCCCCCAAGTCTGCTCCTGTCTCAACATAAATAATATCCCAAGACTAAAATATTCCATGTACACCACAATACACTTAATCAGGCTTTTAGGCCCACATTGACTCTATAAGAGGATCCTTCTGCCTTCTGAAATAAAAAAGCTACTCAGTCAGGGAATTTTAGCATAGAATCCCATGTAATAGAATTGTGGTTTTAAGTCCTACGATGAACAGATGGCAAAGTCTCTACCTGGGGTTCTGACTCACCCCTCCTTATACGGAGGAGACCCTCTGGAGGGCCATCACCACAGGTAGCCTTCTTCAGCTCCGATCCCCTTCTTAATAGTTAATTCTTCTGTAAAGCAGCCATTTGGGAGGCTGAGATACAAAGATCACAAGTTCAAGACCAGCCTGGGCAGTTTAGCAATTTAGCAAGACCTTGTCTCCAGTAAAAAATAAAAGGCTAGGGCTGTAGCTTTGTGTGAAGGGTTCAATCCCTAGCACCCCAAAAATAAAAAAAATCAAAGAGTGAACCATTTACGAGTCATTGCTATTCCTCAGATAATAACTCCAAGGAATCTTCCTGTTGGTTCATAAATGAATTAAATCTGCAGATGGCCAGCCCAATTTGAGATTTTGTTTTCTGCCAAGTACAGGGCACAAAAATATTTTTAAAAGATAAAAGTGCATGACATTGTCCTTGTTTCTGCAGATCGTATGTTCTTCGAGGGCAATGAGAGGTTGTTCAGCTGGTTGATTAATATTTATTAAGTCCTTACCATCTTCATAGACCACAGAAATAAATCTATCAATATACTTCATTACAAGAAAACCTTATTGCTCTCTTTAGGAAGGACAAAGCTGTCTTCTCTTTGATACATCAAACTGATTAACAACTTGAAAGAGCTGTCCCTGTTACAGAAAGAAAACATGAGTAAAAAATACCGCAGTCTACTCCATAAAACTGGAATAAGGGATTCCCCTCCCCAAAATAACGAGACGGTGAGCAAGGGAGGAGCTGTAAGAGAAGGGGCCAGAACCCCATTATCCCCAAAAATATTTTACTTTCAGAGCACACTGTGTCAAAACTTGTATCTAACACTGAGACTTCATGCTCAGTATTTCTCAAGCCACGGCTTCGACTGCAATGGATTGCTGCATAAGGAAACCTAAAAATAAAAATATTTAAACATGCACCAAAAAAAAAGGCAGATGACTTTCTTACAGACACTGTCAAGACCAGCAAACATGTGCTTATAAATAAATGCATTCCTGATGCCCACCAGCGAGTCACCTGAGAGCACTGCCCTCAGACAGTCGGGGGTGACACAGGAGACGGGCTCTGGCGTTAGCCGGGAAAGGCTATCGAGGACCCTCTCTGGGGGTATCTACCCGGGCCACTGGCACTCAGCTTTGGCTGCTCACTCCCCATGCAGTGGGGTGCTGTTTTGTAAACACATCTAATTTGGTTTTAAATTTTAATCCATAAAGTCATTTAGAAAGAACTCCAGGCTGCTGAAGTGACGAACCAACTGCTTCCAAAGCAGACAGGAAGGCAGGCACTGGAGCCGGCTCAGGCTCCCTCTGCCGGGGTCCCATCTTGGCCTCTGCAACTTTCCTCTCTCTTCTCTGATTCCTTCTTACCCAGGCACTGACTCCTTCCTTTTCTCATAGGTGTTCTTCTGCTCAGGCCAAAGATTTTCTGTGAACTTCTTTGCCTGTTGCTGACTTTATATTCCAATCACTGCCTCCTCTACCCTTCCAATTTAATCTATTTCTACATAAACTTTGCTCTTTAACAAAAAGATCAGGCACTGATCAAATTTGGGGGTGGAGGGAATAGTCTTAAGAATTCCTGCTAGCCCCAGCCTTTCCAGGGAGAGGGAGGCAGTATGTCCTAAATCACAAAGTTGCCCAATCTGTAATTAAACTTGTGATCCTCCTGTCTCAGCCTCCCAGCATAGGGAGAGAGGGGGCTGCTGGCCGCTGTCAGGAAACAGCTGCCTAACAAATGGACTGACCAACTGGCAGGACTGGTAGCATCACATCCATTGCCCTCCTGCAGGGATTGGATCTTACAGGTAATTAACCATAAGAGGAGAGGGTTTTTTTCCAAAGGAGAGAACAAAAACATGAATTTTTCAAACATGTCATACCTTATAAAAATTGGTTTATTTAGCAAACCATGTAGCAGATCCTGTTCTAAGAAAACTGTAAATTTTACCACCCATGGATTCCCCACAACTGAGTGGAGGGTAATAATGTTCTTCCCATTTCCCAGGAGACAGAACCACAGAGAGGTCAGGTGACTGGATCGGACTCACGCAGCTGGTAAAAGGCTGTCACGATGTCCACACAGATGCTGTGGTCTAGCTTCAGAGTCCGCCCTTTTCACCACTACCTGGCTGCTTCTGTTTGACTGATTACATCTTTGTGTTAAGAGAGGAAA